TCTAGTTAGTTAAGAACACCAAAGACAGAAGCTGATTGTGGGTGAAGATAAACAATGAGCTTCACTGAATCTGGATTTAAATGTCTATTTTCCCCTAACAGACAGCGTTATTATTGTCATAATAAGTTTACCCCCAGAATTTTGATTTTTAGATGTTCAGGGGGTCCAAGAGGTTAAATGTGGGTCCAGGGGGGTAGGGGAGGTACAGCCCAAAAGCTCTGCATACACGCCCGAGGATGACTTGTCATGCCGCTGTGTTTAAATGAATTTTTTCTCACTTCTTTGCTTCAAAGCACAGAGGCGAGCTTTATAATAATTGCTATCATTATTATCAAGGACAACGTCCACATATCAGTTCCTTCAGCTGGCTTGTGGTCAATTTACAGACAATAAAGTTTCTCACTGAAAGTACAGCAGCTATTATTGCTATTAGTGTGGTCAATTCAAAGCGACTGCATCCCGCTGACTGAGTGCTCCCACTTTCAGCGCTATTTCTGTTAAAAACACTTAGAGATGGTGAGAGTTAATGGCGAAGTAAGAAAGAGAAAAAATCAACTGCAGACAGTATCAGGCGACGAGGGGGCTTCTTACAGCTGTCACAGATTTATCAATCTTACAGTGAGTCTCTGCCAAACTGGGGGGCTTTCAGATGTGACCTCAGCAGACATTTGCGCTGGTTAGACCCACAAATACAGAAATAAACCTACACATCTCAACACGCTGCCCTTCCGCTGTTTTATAACCAGGTCTTTAATCATCCTGAAACTGAACTTCAGCTGAACAAGGGCTACAGAAACGACTTACAACCCTTCTTCTGAAGAGCTGTCGCTGAGCACCTCCTCCAGAAGCGGCTCTCCAAACGCTCGTCAGCGCCTCGGCTGAAGCCTTCAACATATAAATACACCTGGAGACAGCTCTGGATTAGCATACTGATTACAGCGCTGCCGCCGACGTGCTGCTACAGGAGATGCTTACAGTGAGCAGGAGCTGATATCTCAGCATCACGGGCACCTACGTGTACCTGGCTCAGAAACTGGGAACGATATCCAGGAGAGGGGCGAGTGTGCGGTCACTGAGGGAGACAGAGGTGCACTTCCTACTGAACTGCCCAAAATATGAACTTATCAGGAATTAATATTTTAATCAGTTTGGAAAAACAGATAAACAACTTCAGGACGTTGGGAGATGGTGATAAATTAGTGCTTATATCTGGAAAGGGTCCATCAGCGTCCACTGCAGCCAGATGTGTATGAGTGTCATTCACTGTGCGTGACCACCAAACACAATCCTTTCTTTTCCTCACCGTATACATATATATATATATATATATATATATATTGCTGCTGTCTATCTCCATTTTTGTCGGTTTTTTTTTACATAATTTGAAAGTACCTGTTTACGGAGCCCCTGGGGGGACGTGGTGTATTTTTTTTTTTTAGGTAAAAATCTGGTGCACACTAGATACTATCAAGTGAGCACCTGATACTATGTGGTGAGCACTCGATACTATCAGGTGAGCACCCAATACTATCAAGTGAGCACCAGATACTATGTGATAAGAAAACAAAATACATATATGCATAAACAGTGTCGGTGTTCACTGGCAACAGGTGGCACAAGAACAAATAAAGCTACTTAAAGATGATAAGGTAAGCTTTATTTGTTCAGACAGCTATAAAAACCTTAATAATTTACCTATTTGTCCCTTTCAAAGAGATATAGCTAAATGTAGGCTGCCTTTGCTATATACAGTTAGCTATAAATTATGTAAAAAGTCCCAGCTGCTGAATGAGGTGGTGAAACTGTCTGTGCTCCTTTCACTTTTCCAAAATGGAAATTAACCCAGCCAATGGAATCATTTACCCATTTTGCGAGGAGCAGAAGTTCTCTTGCTCTGGCTCATTTTTGTCATGGGTGTGTATAGTTTTAATGCAAAAACATGCATTGCGTAGAGAACAATGCAAGCCTTATAGCTAGCTAGGTTAGCTAGCTAACTGTATATAGCAAAGGCAGCCTACATTTAGCTATATCTCTTTGAAAGGGACAAATAGGTAAATTATTAAGGTTTTTATAGCTGTCTGAACAAATAAGCTTACCTTATCATCTATAAGTCGCTTTATTTGTTCTTGTGCCACCCGTCGTGACTCTAAAAGGTCATTAATGTCTTCTTCCATGACGGAATGACGAAGGATAACAAGCACAGCCAGTGTACAGAGTAGTGGTCTGTGAAGTCATGATACGATGGAGCCCAATGAACACTGACACAGTTTATGGATATGCAGATGCACACACACACACACACACACGTTTTTTTTCTCACCATAGTATCTGGTGCTCACCTGCTAGTATCTGGTGCTCACCTGATTGTATCGGGTGCTCACCTGATAGTATCTGGTGCTCACCACATAGTATCTGGTGCTCACCTGATTGTATTGGGTGCTCACCTGATAGTATCAGGTGCTCACCATATAGTATCTAGTGCTCACCTGATAGTATCAATTACTCACCACATAGTATCTGGTGCTCACTTGATAGTACTGGGTGCTCACCATATAGTATCTAGTGCTCACCTGATAGTATCAATTACTCACCACATAGTATCTGGTGCTCACTTGATAGTACTGGGTGCTCACCTGATAGTATCTGGTGTGCACCAGATATTTACCTTGAGAAAAAAATACACCATGTTCCTTTTACCTAAAAAAAAAAACACACCATGTCCCTTCAGGGGCTCCGTACATTGACTTACATTACAGGTAAAATATGTTTTTTCCTTCTCCTGTAAAGTTACTATTTTGTACTTACGAGGTTTTGTTTTGTTCTGACAGCAGCGATATGTAATATAAATTGATATGTGACATTTTCCCTTTATTGTTTTATAGTTACACGTGTATCTCTTTTTTTCATTAAAATTTATTACACAAATAATTGTTGCAATGCTTTCACAATACAAATGTAGTGTTGTTAGGTCAATAAAGCAACTTGAACTTGATATCTGAGCCTTGAGCTCCAGGACTGGGCTGCTCTGGTTTTGCGTGAGTTTGTACTTCAGTCTGTGTGTAAAGTCTTTACTGAGTCCTCAGTTACACTCGTTAGTTTAAACCGTCCTTTTACTAAATTTGGTTGCACCACAAATCTGTAAGTTGTGTCTTAACTACTAACAACAAACTAATGCGTACGTCATTTTAACATGACGATAACATGATCAGAACTGAACCTGCTGCCATGGAAACGCGATGGCAGCTGCTCTGACTGAATATCCAGCCTATAAGAGAACAATGTGTACAGGATAAACTGAATAAACTGATGATCTACAGCCACCCTCTGTTTATTCTGTAATTTTTCACTGAGAAACCAAATACGCTGATTTTTAAACGCCGGTTTCTGGATAACCGACACAACAGCAGCCTCAGTTTAGCCATTTGAGCAGCTGCTGAGTCTCTCTGAGCTGGAGCTGTGGGTGTTTAGCTTCATGCTTGGAGTTTAAACCAGGGCAACGATTAGAGCTGTGAGGAAAATCACAGCGTACAGAGTTTAGAGTTTTTAGCTTAGTGAACCAAAAAAGTCATGTTTTCGGACTTTTTTCGTGTTCTCTGTTTGGTTTCTGGAGGGTGTAAATATTTAATAACTACTGAGCTCAAAGTTAAAACTAGTTTGTGGTGCAGCTCGTTCTGATTTAGTGATGATAAACCTGAACTTAGTAAATAAACACTTACATTACAAATAGCCTATGTTTGCTCTTACACACAGCTGGGGCAACCAGCCACTGGTGGAGGATAGATAAGGCATTTTTGCGCTGCTTTGAGGGCTTCAAGTTCAAATAAAGTTCATTTAAAAGAATATAGTCCTTATGAATGGACTTCAATGTTTTTACCATCACTTTTCCACTCAGTCACTTCAGTTCCACATATACGGTGCCTTATTTTTAGCCCTACTTAAGACAGCTAGCAGTTTTAAAATACAAGGCAATATTACAAATATTAAAATTGCTAGTATGATACCATCTTTAATATAGGTTTGAGTGAAAAAGCAAGAAATGAATGACAAAACTGCACTAAATCCAGTGGAATCGGCTGGTCAGATCTATCTGGGAAGTATTCAGGTGTGGCCTAACATTCAAATGAGCACACTTGATTAACATCCCTCAGTCCAAGCCTGAAGCACAACTAACATTATACTAACTTTATACACCTAAGTTTATAACAGCGTAAGAGGGACAATCTGTATTATTCAATCCTACATGCACAAACTCACTGATGCTGATTTTGAGAATCATGAGTGATGAGGGATGATGACAATAGGACACGCTCCCTCAAAGGTACAACAATGGGCTTGAGGTCCACTTGTGAGCCCAGAATAAGTTTTTCTCAGAGGAAAAGTGTGTATTTGTACTTGTTCATAACCTAATGTTTTAAAACAGAACATGTTTTTAAATTAAAGATACCAGCCACCCAGTTAAGGTTACCTCAGGTTTTAACCCTCTGAGGTCCACGAATGCACATTTGCATCAAATTCATTGTTTCTATATCTGTGTCTGTGTCTTTGTGATGATCCAGCTCAGAAATCCAGTTCAAACACTTCCTGAATCTGTAGAGTCGCCCTTTCCATCCCATCTTATCACGAGATCATACGAGACTCACATCCGGAGTTATGAGCCTATGAAGAGGGGCTGAGATACACGTCATCTGCCTCTCACCATGTGGAACTGGTGGATTGGTGTGTCCGTCTACATTCTGTGTGAAACTGACCAATGGACACTCAGGAAATCACTAAGCACTGACCATCACGCCAGAAACCCTTCATTCTTCATTCCATCCACATCGGAGACTCATGTGAAATGGCGTGCAGAGAGTTTACAGCTGCTGAAGTTGCTGCAGCGCTTTTGGAAAGTAGTGATGAAGATAACGGAGCATTTTGATATGAAACCTATGTTATATGAAGAGCTTTTAATGGAGAGTTTAAGAAGAGATGGACACAAGGAGGGATGAACTACTACTCACCAAGAGGAGACATCTCGGGCACTCCAGCTGTGTACGGTCCATCTGGAAACTTCGGTTCATTGTCATTGATGTCCTGCACCTTGACGATGAACTCCGACTCGTCCTCCACTGGAATGTTGGTGTCGCGGTCCACGGCTTGCGCCCGCAGGGTGTAGTATCCCTGCTCCTCGCGGTCCAGGCGTTTGGTGGCGTGAATATCCCCTGTGTTTTCATCGATGGTGAAGATGGAGGATGCGCCCTCGCCGGTCAAGACATACTTCACATTTCCATCTCCCTTATCTACGTCTGAGTGGAGCTAGAAGGAGGAGGATAACGACAGAGTCAGAGACAAAGAACATTGCCGCGGAACATTGATGCACTTCTATTCCGTCTTGAAGTGTTTCCTCATCCTACTCAACATGACAGGAAGGGCTATAAGACACTCGACTGCAGTCGTTCACGGTGTTTTGCTGTTTTGTATGGAGATACTGAAAAATCCTTTCACATCCATAAAAGATTCATTGGAATTCACAGATCTTTCACCGCAGAGAGGAACGTAAAGATATCATGAGGCCTCTCCAAGCTGTAGCCATAATACAGTATGTAAAAGAGTGCATTTACAAGCTCGCATCACACTGATAACCCTCACATTGAGGCTGTAAAAACGCACGTTTAAAGGTTAATACAACTTTAATTATCCTATTAAAATACAGAATGAAGCTGCAAAGCTATGCAGACACTCTGCCAATAATAACGTTCACTCTCTCCACATGTATTATATAAATCTGAGGATCTGTGATATACGAGAGATTTTGCACAAAACCATGAACTAGAAGACTAAAATATGCACTCAGACTCTTTGTTGAAGATTTTTCTGTCTGCTCTTCTTCCACTGCCCTGAGTCAAATCATCAGTGAGTCAACTCAAGTGAAGAACTGAGGAACTGTATTTATAGCAGCACCGTTATCACCGAACATATTGTTGTGCCAATTGTTTTTTTACCTCAAATGAAATACAAGAAATTCCCTAACTGCATTCAACACAATAACAAAAGGATGCAATGACAGGAGCATGAAGAAATCAAACGTTAATTATAAACATCAACTATTTCTCTCCGTAGCTCAGGAAAACGAGCAGAGATGATCAGCCTGAAGTGCAGATTTTAAACTTTTAATCAATAATATATTTGTGTTTATAAGTGGAAGAGGAGGACGTGTTTTATCAGGGCTGGAATGTGATGCAAAGTAACTGTACAGTCTCGTTCATTGGACAGAAACAACAGCAACACTTTCTATGAATACCATGTATATAAGAACCTATGAACACATTTAGAAAATGTTTTATAAAACAGGTAGTTCTGGTCCTAATATCTGATTGGCTGAGCCGTTGGAAGCAGTTGTAAAATCCATGATATACGCACAGCTATGACCGCCTCACAGCAACTGAACTCCTTGTGCTGTTAATGAATAATCTTTGACTCTATTGCTGCTCACTTGGAGGACCGACTGTACTGATGATGTGAGAGCCCAGTTCTGTTTAAACTGAGGGGCTGAGGACTTATGATCTTATCTAGAACTAGGCTGGTCAGCTAGATAACAGGCTAAAAGATAGCAAACATGCTAAACAGCTCCATCATTAATATCACAGGCTTGAATTAAATTACTTACAGTATGATTACCTGAAAAACTGCAGCATAAAAGTCTAAAAATGTCACCTGAATGTTTTACACACTTCAAATGTTCGTGTTTCAGTTAGAAGTCGTATCAAACCCAGGATGAATCCCAAACGGCTCCGTACTCCCTAAATAGTGTTCTAGCTATGACAGTTTAGAAATTCTAGCCTCTACAGCCAAACAGTGCATCATTCCCAAATGTCCCAAATGACTGTTTCTTAGCTGTATTTTGCTCTGTTGGGCTGCAGGATCCAGTATTTAAACTCCTATGTAATGCACTATGTAGGGAGCAGGGAGTGGTTTGAGATTCAGCCCCAGCGTGAGAAGAGGGCGCCGCTGGATTGGTGCTAAATAAGACTCAGTGATGTGTACAGCGATGGGCGACCAAACGTTCTCCTCATTTAGGGGTCCATGGTTGCTTGGCAACGATATAATACTCTAAAAGAACTACATTTCTTGGCGGAATACTTGATTGTTGATTATTATTAATAAATAATTTTCTGAAAAATTGTGTATTTTATCATATTTTACGTTAGCCAACGTTTAATAAAAGCAATAAGCCACTTGAGGCTGTGCATTACTGTGATTTTATCACAGGGCAGGGAGTTTATACTCTGCTTTGTGTCGTGCCTATAAACACCCTTCCCGTGATAAAATCACAGTAACCCATGGTCTCTATTGGCTTATTGCTTTAATAATGAATCAATAAGACATCATAAACATGGCTATAAATATTTATAAAGAGGCGTAACATTTTTGCATTATAATTGTTAATGCATTATAAGTAGTGTTAATAACATGCTGTAAGAGCTTGTAAGCTGTGTTTGTCAGCTGTCAGTACAGTGAGGCATGTTTTACACTAAAGGCTCCTCCGATATTCAGAGTGAAGCTTCAAGCTGATTTACTGAAACACTAAAACACACAAAGTGAAGCTCATTAAAGCTTCAGATGTCAGAGTTGAAACTAGAGCTCCATCAGTCGAGTTTTACCAACATGGGAAAGTCAGTGTGCACCACTGTTAGCTCAGCGCTAACTTAACACTGCATATCCAATAGAGCGCTAGCAGAAATTAGCATTACTGTAGTGATGACACACAGTGAAGGTTCTAGTGGTTACTGTTAGAACCACATTACAGTGATAGGGCTCTGCTAACCTGCCTCTCTCTCTCCAGGCCTTCACTCCACAGTGACCTCATGCTCAGTGTGATGTCAGAGGGGGTTCAGGAGAGGGGCTGATGGGTACTGGGTGTGCTGTGATGTGATGTAGTGTTTACAGTGAGAGTGCAGTGTAGTAATAACTCTGGGCAGGACGGCTTGTTTGGGGATCTGAATATTCAGGACTGAAGACCCAAAACTGCAGCTCTAACAGCTCCAGCACTGAGAAATAACATCATGGAAAGACGTAAATAAACGTATTAATCTTACTGATTGACTGACTTCTTTGACACTATCAATATAACATATTATTAACACTATTAATGCATTATATTAACAATTCATAACACATAATGAGTATTGCTATAAAGTGTAATTAATTTTTAAAAATATTTATAGCTGTGTTTATGATGTCTTCTGAATTCATTATAACATGTTATGAATGTGTTTATAGATGCTCATAGACATGGTATTCATAGAAAGTGTTGCCAAAACAACTGTCCTCTTGGAGAGTCTGAAGTGCCGACTTGGAGCAAAATGCAAATCAAATGCAAATGCAGTTCATTCATGTAACTGTGTGATTAATCATGTCAAGCTCAACTTTATCATCCACATGGTAAATTCTGTTGGTCAACAGTGCAAAACATAAATAAACACCACTACACATAACACACACCAGCCCACCCACACAGGAAATATATAAACAGCATAAAAAAATCAGTAACAAGACTCTTTTGACCGCAATAGTGCAGCCGAGCAACAGGAATTCCAGTGCAAAGACTCTTTAAACCTGCTTTTCTGCTCTACCACCTTTCTACCAGTTTAGAATAAGACTTCCCTTATAAAGTGTTTATGAATGGTTTAAAATTAGGTTACTAATGGCAATTAATTAGGTCATAAACACCTTGCATGCATAAATAGTTATAACACATTAATAAAAAGGTGAGCAAAAGTGAGCTTTTATATCTGATGGATGTGAATGTGTGATAAAGCTAACAGGTTTATTACTGGTTGATGAAATAGACAAAGTCACAAACCAGCAGGGTCTGAGCTTTCACTGCATAGATGAGTGTGTTAGGCAAACCACAAGTCACTGTTTCTCTTTTTATTTATGTTTTGTAACCGCTTATTAATGATTTTTAAGTGTGAATGAATAAACTAGTTAATAACCAATAATAAACTCGTTTTAAACCATTCATAAACACTTTATAAGGGTAGTCTTATTCTAAAGGGGTAACTAAATTTCTGATGTGAATGATGGGTAAAATCTTATACTCACTTTTACCGTTTTCTTCTAACGATTATCTACATTTGTTGTGATGTTTTCACAGTCGATTGGCAGAGAAATAATGCTGTCAGTCTTTTATAGGTTGAGAGATTCCTAAAATTACTTTTACTGCTGTTTCCTTTGGTTTGATTTGGGTGATCAGGACTAAATTTGGCATCAGATCTGCCAAAGCAACAATCAGAGTTATCAGTAAGTATAAGTCAGCTATGTATAAAGTGACTCTCCTGCTGCTCCGAGTCCCAGAACTCCCAGTAAACAGCGTATTTAAGCTTCTCTGAATGTGTAATGAAGGTTTGTCTGTAGTGTTTCTACATCCTTCTATTCGCGTTAGCTGGCAGTTGCGGAATCCACCTATAAGAGATTAACTTCATTTACAAGAGCGCGATAGCTAGCGGACCACCTTAACTGAAGGAATTAGCTTAGTGTTATGTTAGCCACCCAGCTAACATCGGGCTCACAGTGTTTTCCCAACTGTACGTTTCTAAAAAAGATGGTTCATCAAAGGTTCTTTCGTAAAGAAAATGTTCTACATAGAACCATTAGCACTCAAAATACCCTTTGCATCGATAAATGGTTCTTCAGACTGATGGAGAATGTTCTTCTAACAGTAGAAGAACCCTTTGGGTGCTTTATAGATCTCTTTTCAAAACTGTTATATATATATATATATATATACGCCGATCAGGCATAACATTATGACCACCTCCTTGTTTCTCATTGTCCATTTTATCAGCTCCACTTACTATATAGGTGCACTTTGTAGTTCTACAGTTACAGACTGTAGTCCATCTGTTTCTCTGATACTTTGTTAGCCCCCTTTTACCCTGTTCTTCAGTGGTCAGGACCTTCATGGACCCTCATGGAGCAGGTACTATTTGGGTGGAGGATCATTCTCAGCACTGGTGGTGTGTTAGTGTGTGTTGTGCTGGTCTGAGTGGATCAGGCACAGCAGTGCTGCTGGAGTTTTTAAACACTGTGTCCACTCACTGTCCACTCTATTAGACACTCCTACCTTGTCAGTCCATCTTGTAGATGTAAAGTCAAAGACGATAGCTCATCTGCTGCTGCACAGTTTGTGTTGGTCATCCTCTAGTCCTTCAGTGGTCACAGGACGCTGCCCACAGGGCGCTGTTGGCTGGATATTTTTGGTTGGTGGACTATTCTCAGTCCAGCAGTGACACTGAGGTGTTTAAAAACTCCAG